TATCCCGCTTCCTCCCGCCCTTGATTTATAATCTCTAAAATGTAATAGTATCAATGCCCCAAGTATATAATTATTCCTGACAAATTTTAAAAGTTTCGGTCCATGGATCCTTAGATATAGAACATAATACAGAATAACACTAAATTTTGTACTTTTTTATGTTACTTGTAATACGGGAAAGTATTGTAATCGTGTCATATTTGACCTTCCGGATTTTTTCAAATCTCGACGTTTCGAGACACCTTGAACCCACTCAAAAAAGCGAAGAGAAAATTCTCTTGGTGTGTGTTGGCGTCTATTTTTTTTAATATATCAGGATAGAGTAAAGATTAAGAAACTAAATTTGGCATGGTAACGGGATATTGATGCTATTAAATTTCTGAGTACGATACTCAAGAGGTGGAGAGCCACGTGCCATATCTCTATTGCAGTTGGACTTAATGAAAATTTTATTCGTTATTGCCACTTAAAATATTTTTCGAAAACTCATATCTACCCTTAAAATCAAGCATCTTATCTTTTCATAATAATTGATTAATATAAAAGTTACTTTTAATGATATCTCACAACAGTTGGAGCCATACACAACTTTAACTTTGAGCTAGTGTCATAGTGTTTTTTTAGATAGAGATTTTTATCAAATTCAACAAAATTAGTCCTTTTAAGTTTTTGTTATTACTTAAATTTTATAACCTAGTATAAATGAAAATTATCGAACTTTCTAATGATCCCCTTGATCTGCTGGGAAGTGAAAGGTCAAAATTTGACCGATTACAATACTTTTCATCTGTTACTTTAACAACCAGGGAAATGAAATCAAACCTTCGGAATAATCCTATACCAATAAAAATCTGTATTGTAACATCTAAATACGATATTAAAAACGTGAATTTCGTATCTAAATGAATCTTTAATGAAAATATAAAATAAAATAAATATGAAATTGCTTCTTACAGCGAATAGAAATATATTACAAAAAATATTTCTACATTCTTACTTTTCTGTAACTCATATTCTAACTTCGTACTTAATATAAAATGATGTTCAGAAATGCAATCCTTTTCTTTAAAATTCCTCCCATGAAGACTTTCTACGAAAAACTGCTCCCTATTTAGTTGTTAGACAATAGACAGGTAAAGAAAAATTATAAAATTACACGTGGCCAACCCATTGACGAGGATCGAACCCTCGACCATGTGTTCATGGTTTTATCAATTCAACTACTGGAAACTTCGGTTCTATAGGAACTAAATAGAAGTTTATTAATCGAGATTATAGTAATATTAAACCAAATTTTACGTGTTTAAATATATAAATTAATAATAAAATTTGACAAGATAAATAAGAATTATTATTTTTTTAATAATAGTCTCATTATGATTAAACATTTTGTAAATTAAAACTCAATCAATTTTTCTTTAAATTTACGATAAACAACTTTAACAGATTTAGCATTAAATTATTAATAAGCGATATGTTTTACTATAATATATATTAATTCTATAATAAAAATTTCAAATAAACAGAAATTCAAAAGCAGAAGTATTATTTAAATTATAATAAAACTTAATTTAGAATTAATTCATTTGAATTTTTTCCACCTCAATTTTTCAATTGGATATTTAGGAAATAGATTTTTTTCCCCTGCCATTTTTAATTACTAATAATTAAAAACGTATTTTAAAATTTACAAATGTTAAGTTTAATTAATTTTAAAAGTAGAAAATTACATTTATACTTCATAATCTTTTTAATGTTTATCGAATGTAAAAAACTGTAGAAGATTGAATGAATCTATTCGTATTTTGAATATTAAGTAAATTTTGTAAATAACTTAGAAGTTTATTATTAAGAGAAGCAATTAAGAAACTAGATTTTAATGTCTTTTTTTTTAACATTTTATCTCGTGTTTACAGATCACTTTAGTTAAAAAAAAAACCTATTTAATATCCTCTGCACTTCTTGCACGCAGTACACTTTCTTTAACAAAAAGAATTACTTCTTTTATTATCTGTTTTCTCTACTATAGTTGGAAACTAATCTCTTTATTCAGTTGTAAAAATTCGATAAGATTTTATAAATTATAACACGTTTCCTTGCTATGTGAGTTACTCTATAAAGCCTTAGCTGCCAGCATTTCTAAGATTACTAAATAACAATATGTGCATTCAAATTTCATATCGTATATATGTTTTTAAACGAATAAGCTTAACAGATTCCACCTTTCTGCTTCCTTCTACATGTATATAAGGCTTACATATATGTTATATAGGCTTCTGTATATCTCTATTGTTTTCTAAAGTATCATATTTTCATCTTTGATAAAAGCAACTCTTCATTTTCAATTAGATAAATCTTTTATTTTTTTGCTCAATGCTCACAATCATGCTTCATTTTGTTTCGAACTTTTTTCGTGGCTTCTTAACGTCTGTCATTTTCTTTTTGTTTTTTCGCATCAATAGCATTATCGTAGAAGAATTCTACTTTTGCCTCACGAACAGAAATCAAGTACACTCGAGACGTTACTCTATTTTCTTTCACTCTATTTACTTTCAATTATTATTTCCGTTTTTTTAGTTTTCTGATAAATTCGATTATTAATATTAAGAATTTCTTTTAATTGTTATTTATTTAATAATTTCGTCTTTTAAATTATAAAAAAATGCTTTGAATATTAATTAATTATTTTAAAAAATGCTCAAAATATAAGTAAATGTTTGTATTGTTCTTAAATTGCTCGATATATTTTCAAAGCTTATCATATTCAAATCATTTTTTAAATGTTTTTTTCTCCCTTCTTTCTTTGCGTGGGCGACTATATTAAGTTATTTCTTGAATTTCTTCAGTTGTTGTTGAAGTTTAACCTTATTTTAAAATTATTCGAGAATTTCGTTTTATATATAAACTATGGTTGGAAACAGTAAAAGAAATTGTTTAACACTCTTATAAAATCGAGCTGAGTTGGCAAGGGAAATTTTGGCATGATAAAAACATGCCAAAATTTTTATATTATGTCAATTGAATGGCATAATATGTTTCTAACCATGTGTCTATCGTGTTATTTAGCATTATGCCGTGTTAAAAACAAAGACATAACTTGTTTTTCTATCATGCAAAAATGCCACGTAACATGTTTCTATGCTAAAACTTGCCTTTCAACTCGGCTCGATTTTTATAAGGGTGTTAAGCGACTTTAGCTCATTCTTTATAAATTATTTGTAAATTATACAATAATAACCTGAAAGTTTAAATATATTTTAATTTTTAAATACTTTGTTTTCTTTCTTATGATTATATTTTCGTATATTTTTATGTCTGTTTTCAATAAGAACTCGATACTCATACGCTTCTTATATCAGCTAATATTCTTTTATAAAAGATCTAATTTCAGATTTTATTCGATTATATTAAATTAAATTAATTTTGATATGATATCTAAACCCTATCTTCAGTTTATTTCTTGTCTCTTAAGTCGTTGTCTTATAATCAATAACAAAAAAAAATGTATCCTTTCGAATTCCATTTCTCTATCTATCGATTTATCTTAATTATACTGAAATTGGAATATTGAATTATTTTTTCACATTAAACTATATAATTTAAAGATATTCTCCATCAGGCATTCTAGATATTAATCGACAAACTTTAATTATATGTTAAAATCTGAACCTCATAAATTCTATCCACGGATTGATTCGCCTATTATTAATACAGAATAAAGAATAATTCGACTTTATTCATTAAACGTAGAGTTTGAATTCGTTTAGAAAACTTTAATTTATGTTTTTATCCATTCAATGGTATATTAATATTGATTTTAAATGAAAAAAATTGCATTTAAAGAAGCGATCCTTCTCATCAATTTTCTTCCTAGAGGATGTCGATTAATAATTTAAATGTTTGAGTGAATGGTTCTTAGAGCAAAATCGTGTTTGTACTGATTAATTTAATTTTAAAATAATGAATCAAAGCTTGTTAACTCAAACTTTCCATTATTTTAATCAAGATAGATACAACAATGAGAATTTTTTTTAGCATTTTTTCCCCCTGTAAACAAATTTTTATTCATTTTAATCAGAAAGATAATGGGAAAGATGAGGAACATTAATATAAAATTATCTTAATTATTTTCATTTTAATGAATAATTGGTACAATTACTGTAATATAATTACTACAAGAATTTGTGGGTTTTTTTTCTTCTTATTTTATAGATTTTAAATATAAATTTATATTTTACAAATAGCCTAGCTCATTGTTGCGACTTACAATAATTATTTGTCTTTTATTTTATTAAAAATTTTTTAAGTGTGGTAAAATATATATATATATTTTTATTCAGTTTAAAAATTTGTCTCGTGTGTTATTAATACGAATTTACTCTCTTTTTGGTGCGTTATTTATATTATTATTATTATTATTATTTTTAATATAATTAATCTCCAAAGAGTATGTATTGTGAAAATACGATAAAAACTACTAGATTAAAATTTTATAGAATTTAAATATTTAAAGTTTACGTTTGTTATATTATTCTGTGGATATAAAAAATAGGAGAAAGATGCTCGGATACGTTTGATTTTTTATATTATTTTCGTGTTTATTTTTATCTGGAAAAAAATTATCCTGTGTCATAACAAAAAAAAAAATATAGAAGCCAAGATAGGCGATTTTTATTTCTCTTGTTATCAATTGACAAATTTTTAGTTTTGTATTTTTTATAAGGGCCATGGATTTTTTATTTTAATTATTAAATCTAAACAAAAAAAAAACAAACTAATTGTTATGTCATTTAAAGAAAAATCGTTTCTTTTCTTTTTTTTCTTTTTCAAAGGATTGTCATGTGTCTTTTTAAAGGTGAAAATTAGTCTCTTTTCATTTCACAACATCATTTTTTATGCTTTTTTTCAATAGCTTGACGAAAATTACCACATTTAAAGAAGAAAGACAACATCACCATGTTAAAAGAGGAAGAAATTGCATGAAGGATTGTTTAGTTTGCTAAAATAGATTGATAACTATAGAAGTGAAAGACTTTATCGATAACATGACAAAAATTCTACAATGTTTACATAATTTTTGAAGGGTTTTTTTTCTCTTTTATCTTATTTTTTTTCCTTTTTTTTACAATATGTAATCCACAATGGAAATCTGCAAAAAATTTCTCCGTTTTAAACAGAGACGGGTAGAAATCTATACGCTGATTCAGACTTCTGATGTCTGGAGTACCTATAAAGAACAAAAATACATATATACATATCATAGAGCAAAACTAATTTATTTTATTAACTTAGAACACATTAAGTTAAGTTACGAGACTTAAAATCATTTTAGTTAAGCAAACATCATTATTACTGATGTCTACCTAATTAACTTACATCTATATTAAGACCATGCTCGACTAATAATCTCTTTAAAATCTGTAAAAGTAACGTCTAGAACTCTAAATTCTTCTTCATCTCTTAATAATTATTAATAGAATGATGTGAAAATACCTAATGAACTTCTCCCCGTTCATATCTTTATTACAGACAAAGATTTCATTAGTTAAATATAAGTAAATAAGAATTTTTCAAAATTATCTTTGACGCAAAGTAAAATTTTTATTGCGTACATCCATTAAAAAAAAAAAACACCAAAAACCTCGTGAGTGAAGGTAAAAGTAATTTCTACTCATTAAATTAATTAATATCTCACTGTTCAAAAATTAATTATAATTATATTAAAATAAGTTTTTTTTTTTACATTTTTCTACTAATAAATAAAACTCATTAGTGATTAGTCGGAGAGAGCTGATAAGAATGTGATGTGACCTTTTTTCTCTATTCCTTCTGAAGAGTCCTTTCCTTCTCAATATCTAATAGAAAAGTCTTACTGTTTTTTATTTTATTTTTTATTTTTTTGTCAATAAACCGAAGCGTATTCGGTCTTAGTAAAGACATAAACAAATATCTTTTACCAACTCTCTACGTAATAATATTGTAGGTAAAGTTGAACTTAAACTTAATAAAAGCAATGCACTCTAAGCTATCGGAATACACAATGCTCTTTCCTGAAATGTACAGTACATTTATATAGTAAGGTATACATAAATAAATAAATAAAACTTTTTATATGTTATAAATTATTCGAGTTGATCGATTTATTTAGAAATAGTAAGCATGATTTGATTGGTTTAAAATGTATCAAAATGTCCCGAAAACATTTTTGATTTGAAGTGATGTTGGCGGTTACATTCACTTTCGGCATCCATTTTTTTCCCCCTTCTTCTTCTTTTTGGAAATGTTCTCTTTCGAACCCAATTNAAATATAAGTAAATAAGAATTTTTCAAAATTATCTTTGACGCAAAGTAAAATTTTTATTGCGTACATCCATTAAAAAAAAAAAACACCAAAAACCTCGTGAGTGAAGGTAAAAGTAATTTCTACTCATTAAATTAATTAATATCTCACTGTTCAAAAATTAATTATAATTATATTAAAATAAGTTTTTTTTTTTTACATTTTTCTACTAATAAATAAAACTCATTAGTGATTAGTCGGAGAGAGCTGATAAGAATGTGATGTGACCTTTTTTCTCTGTCCCTTCTGAAGAGTCCTTTCCTTCTCAATATCTAATAGAAAAGTCTTACTGTTTTTTATTTTACTTTTTATTTTTTTGTCAATAAACCGAAGCGTATTCGGTCTTAGTAAAGACATAAACAAATATCTTTTACCAACTCTCTACGTAATAATATTGTAGGTAAAGTTGAACTTAAACTTAATAAAAGCAATGCACTCTAAGCTATCGGAATACACAATGCTCTTTCCTGAAATGTACAGTACATTTATATAGTAAGGTATACATAAATAAATAAATAAAACTTTTTATATGTTATAAATTATTCGAGTTGATCGATTTATTTAGAAATAGTAAGCATGATTTGATTGGTTTAAAATGTATCAAAATGTCCCGAAAACATTTTTGATTTGAAGTGATGTTGGCGGTTACATTCACTTTCGGCATCCATTTTTTTCCCCCTTCTTCTTCTTTTTGGAAATGTTCTCTTTCGAACCCAATTGCCAAACGTCTTCCAATTTTTGTAAAAGCTACGAAGAAGCCAGACATTGAAGATTGAATGCAGAATATTTTGATGAATTAAACTACAAAGCTAAATGCATTTCTCGTCTTGGTAAATTCAATATGGATTTTATCAACTGTCAAAAAACTTGTGATATTTTTAAAAATATATATATTTATAAATAATTTCTGTTATTAAATAAATATATATAGACTACATATATTTTACAAAACGATCCATGGATTATCTATCGGGCTATATTGAAGCTAATTTAATAATTACATACAAAGCAATTTGGCTTAAGATTGGCTGCTAGGCCACCATCTATATTTTAAATTTAAAATAAAAATATCAAGAATAATTAATTAAATTAAGATAATATTTTATTTCTTAAACTAAAATAATATTTAATGTTACAATTAAATTAAAATGATGCTTATTATGCTTTAATTAAATTAAGATTATTATGCGGTTAAACAATGACGATACACGATTAAATTTAAACCAATTAAATTTTAATTAACCCCAAATTAAGATAACCCATTAGTTAAGATGAGATTATGCTGCAGATCAATGGAGACGATAGAAAAAAATTTCGATTGCATCGAACTTACAGCTAAAATATAACAAATTAAACAAAAAAAATTATAACTGCTTGTTTTGTGATTTAAAAGAGCTTGCAATAAAATAAAAATAGGAAAAACAAAAGATTAAATCAGGATAAAAGCACGGTTAATGCCAAGGCAAACATAATAACTTGCAAAGGAATAATCTTGAATCCTAAAAGAAAAGATTGACATATCTTGAGGATTTATATAAAAAATATTTAATATAAAAGTTATTATTTTGTTATTAATAGTATTACGTTCTCTACGGAACCATTTTGAAGATAATTGTTAACTTCAGACTGCAATTATTTCTTCAGATTTTTAATACAGATATGAAAATGTGATAAGAGAATTAGCAAAAATATTCGTTTACTGATTATTATATTTTTCTTTACGCATTTTTTAATAAAAATTTCTGAGCCTAAGTACAGGCATTTTTTTCAACTGATCACGTTATAGTTTCGAACAAAGTTTTGAGAACATTATCATAAATTTTTCAATAGTACAACAAAAGTGAAAGATAGACTTGTTTACAAAGATGTTATATAATATTTAGCAAGAGAAAATAAAACTACAATAATGAAAATTTTCCATTTACAACAGAATTTTACTTAAGTTTGATCGATACGAATTTTTTTTTCTAGATTGACAAAAGGATACAATAAATAAAAACCAAGGTTTTCTTAATGGAAATGTCTTTTTAGTAAAAATTTTTTACGTATAACAATGAGATTAATTAAATACGAAGTAAGCAAAAAATAGAAAATGACTTATTAATATTTTAAATTAAAATCTTAAATGAAACAGGCTTTACATAATCTTGATTTATAGGGGACGTATCCAGGGGGTGATTATGATGCTGCAGTACCCCTTTAATACCGAAGCAATTAGATTTTGTTACTTTAAAATAATAATAAAAAATAGAATAACGCGTGTCTCACGACTTCAATTACATAATTAAAGTAATTTTAAGTAACATATGGGGGGTACGTGCCTTGGTCCCTCCGAATCCAGCAGCATCCATATTACGAAAATCCTGGATACACCACTGTAATTTATATTACTTTTCCGTTTATAATTATGTAATAAACTTACCTTTTTATCTAGATACGAAGACCTGTGCAGACCATCCATAGACCTGGAAACATCTTTCTGAGAGGAAATGCTTCTTTTTCCGAGATTCTTTAAGTATTCATCGTTTTGACGTATTTTATTTTGATTCTCTCTCATTTTTTGTCTTGCCATATCCAACATTAGCTGTTGTCTCAGAACATCTAATGCGTTGACGATGGACAGTGGAGGACCATCACGCTTCATCATGTGCCCTGGTGGCACAGTCCCTTCTAAATCGTAGCCATTGTAAGTGGATAAAGGATAAGGTAACGCCCATAAGCCTCTATTCCTGTTATCAATTTGTTGTCTAGGAAAGATATTCATCAGTCTGTTAACGTGATTAACTGAATATAAGTCGGGTTTTGGACGATTGATGTCCTCTTTAGAATAATCTCCAACAGCATATGGTATTATTTGAGGAGTTACTAAAATGTATAGGACGAGGATGAACATGTGTATACATGTATACATTTTTTTGTAATGACCTATAAGGGTAAAATAAGGAGAGTCAATTAAATTAAATTTATCATTTATCAATATAAAGTTTTACTCTTTTATCCCAATTTAATTAATATTTAAGTTGTTGGTGATAATACAAAATAAAATAGATCAATACCGAAGTATTAAAACAAGAGTAATAATATCTTTGAATTAATAATTGATGAATTTCAGTACAAATATCAAGTATTAAAAATATAGTTAGAAAGTTTTTGATTTTAATTCTAAAATATTAAATTTATCAAGTAATAATTCTGTTAGTCTCACACAAGAAAAATAAAAGGAGTCGAGCAAAGATTTTGAAAACCTTGAAGGTTTGATTGTTCACAATCGTCACGTTACAGGATTGTTCCCAAGACTGATGAAATAAATTCAAAGAAATGTATTGATTTAAAATATAACAATAGTAGTATACTTGGTAGAGTTGGAGAAAAGGAAGACTTTCATATTCAATAATGAAAAGAAGATACAAAAAAACTTAAAAATTCTCAAAATATGATAAATTTGATATTTGTTTTCGGGTCATTTTTTTGAAACAAAAATAAAAATAATTTCGATACATCGCTCATAAAGAGATTAAAATTGAAGTTTAAATTCATTAATATAGCAATAAAATATAAGAAATGTTTTAATTAAATACGCGTAGAAACTAGTAAACAACGACTCCATATTCGTTATTAGAAATGTGGGTAGGAAGGGAGAGAAGTTGTTTTAATTCCTTGAATAACGTTTGACGTTACTTATTTTAAATATTATCTAAAAAAAAACACAAAGCTTATTTGTTGCAGAAGATTGTTAACAATAGAAGTGGGTGGAGAAGCGACGTTAAACCGTGCATCTTAAGTGCTTCCATTGAAGATATTTGGAGATTATCGCAACCTCTGATAACTGACAGCGATCGAAATGCTATTAATTTTGAGATTCACTCGTACTTAAGAGAATTGAAGAATGATAAAGTCGGAAAAAAGATATAAACCAAATTCTAGAATATTTCAGATATCTAAAAGCTAATCCGAAGGGAAAAAATATATATATATAAGCTATATTTATCCTCTATATCATCTTCGATAACAATATATAAATAGGAAAAGATATATTATAATGGACCACAAAAATCTGATGTATTTCAATTTAGTTCAATAAGAATATAATGAAAGATTTTGTTATTATAGTCGACTATAATATTTTATACAATATTAAAGCTACTATATTGTACACTACAAGTCGATACAGTATAAGATTTATGGGATTGCTTTAGTGCTATAATAACAAAATCTTTCTTATTAGAAATAATATTGTTGAATAATAAACTTTTCTAAAAGTTTATGATTATAGTTTGTTAAGCTTATAATATATTAACATTAACATTATTAATTTCACAATGATTAGAATCAAACAAACATTTTAAAAGTGTATTATTTTATAATTATTTATTTATTTTTAAATTATAAATTACAGTATTTTCTAGCTAAAATTTCTTATTTAAAACTTTTCACGAGTAATCTTAAAGAAAATTTGCCTTTGATCGAATCATCACACTGTTAATTTTTCATCCATTTTTATTTTTATTTTATTTTAAAGTAATTAAAGTTTTAAAGTGTTAAACAACGGGTTTTGTTCGTTCTAATCTGATGTTTTTAAGCAAGTTTAATACCTGTTTTCAAATCATATTTATGTAAACTATCGGGTCCTTTCCATAGATCCAGGAGAGTGCAGACAGGAAATAATATGCCGTATAGTATTTTTTCTACCTGACGTCTATACTCGGGAAAAACACTCAGGAAAGGGTGTAGTTGTGTCCTGCACACCTCTAAATTCGTCCCTCAGTTCTTTCAGATAATGAAGTTGTAATAGGCAAACAATTTGGAGTAGCAATTATCGCGCTGTTCTCAACTCAAAGCAATATTTAACTTAAGTATTAAAAGGCATTATAATGCAATTATAATACTTTTTTATCTATATTTTGTAATTGAGAATAACCGAAGATCCTGAAGTAAGAATATGAGAGGGTTCTTGCCCCAAGCTCTAAGTATTATTTCTTCATATTAACGAGTTAAAATTTTTTAGTAAAAAAGTTAATTTAATTTAAATATTTTTACAATTTTTCTTTATGATTACATAAAAATTTCATTGAAATAAAAAGCTAAAGGATAAGAAAATTGATTCTTACATAAACTTATCATATCTTATATTTGTAATGAGGATTGAACACTTCTTAAATAATCATTGATTTCTGATTTTTATCCCTAGGAAATTGGATAAATGGCTATTATTGTTTAAGACAAACGTCGTTAGATATGTAGGAAACCAATTTTTACAACAATTGCTTAATCAATAGTTTAAAGAAAGAATTCACTCTATAATAAAGTTGATGGAACAATACACGCTATCGAACGTTATAGAAAAATATGAAATAATGTTCTATATATAGAAACGTATTTATAATAACTCAAAAAATATAAATAAAAGGTATAAAATGGCATAAGGTCAAAAATCTTGTCTTAAGAGAATATTGTTTTTATGGATTTAGGCCATTGAAGAAATAACAAGCATGTGAATTTATAGAAAATCATAATCTCATATAGTTAATTCCTGCAGGATTTAAATATTTATTAAAAAATTTAAATTGTATCTGGTTTAAGAATTATATAAAATTTTAATTTATATTTTAATTTATTAAATACGACAATTCGATCTAGCAGAATGATTATTTCCTTAAACTAAATATGAACTTTTTATAGATAAACATGTTTTATTATTGTTTATATAATATATTAAAATTACATTTTATATAGTTAATTATTTTTTATTGATGTATTCTCTCGTATTATTGCCGGAAAAGTATCATTTTTCGTCGACTAAATAATACATATTTATTAAAAAGAAGCACTAAAGAAAGCTCTTTTCTTCTATAAATTAACAAGTAATTTGAGGCTTCTTTTTTTAAAGAACACTGAGAAAATTAAGCTGTAAAAAAATGGAAGAGAAATTTATAAATAGAAACTGTAAACTAAAGTCATTGTTTAGTCGTTAGCGTGTTAATTTGTTTGTATACTGTACATAAAAGTTAGAATGTATAATTATTATTATTACAATAATAAAATCACAACTATTCATTTATGTTGAAAGTAATTAGACAGTTTTGGTTAATTAAAGTAAACAAAAATGAACAACTCGATATTAGTCCAGAAACACCTGGAGTATTAAAAATATCACATAAAAATTACAGTTTAAAAGTTATTTTATGCCTAAAATGAAGAGAAATATTGTAAAGTATTTGCTTTTAGTCGTGATAATAGAATATAAAGTAAAGAACCGTGTCGTGATAACTTTTATAAATTCAAACTAAAATAAAGAATATTTTTACAGAGATAACAAATTTAAAATATTTTCCTTACAAATAAAATCCGTAACGTAAATTCAACTCATCAAAGAATTTGAAACAGCTGCAATATTCTCATTGTCATCATAGAAGATTGTTATTGTTTCTAGTACGAGGACCATATACTGTACCAATATATCACGCATTCATATTGCAACCATTGTTCAATTCTGTCTATTAATTCGATTATATTTATTTCATCACGAAACAGTTTAAAGGTGTACCGAATGATGTCATAATTTATAGTGCAGAGATAAAAAAAATGAAGTTATTCCCCCTTTTTTTTTATATACAAACACTCTTAACCTCGCATCTTCATTCATAAGATAGCAATCATTCTCCGTCACAACAGTGTTTACAATTCTCTTTGCAACTTTGAAGGTCAAGTTTTTTTTAAAAATGAAAGCTTAGAACTAGTGTTATATTCTTCTTATTTATAGTAGAAAAATTCTACTCTTTGAAGGAGTCAATCATTTTTAATTTAATTAAGTAAAGATAACAAATAAAAAGGACGTCAAAAATTTCTACCAGAAGCTGACATAATATCTAAATTAATTAAAATGCAAAAGATTCTTTTATAAAACAATAAAATTAAATAAATACATTTTAAAGTCAATAACCGAAATATTTATTAATGTTATTATTATTTTTGAAGACAAATCAAGCTGACAAATATTTTTCTCATGTGAAAATTTGCCTAATATTTACATTTTTAATTATTTATATATCATTATAAAGAATTTCTACAAGCGAATTCTTTTCGAATAAAAATATTTATAAGTTTTTATTATAATTTCACTGTTTACATTAAACTATCTTTCGAAATTAGAAGCTAACAAGGAGGAAAAAGTGGTTACAGATCAAGAGAAACTGATTAACGAAGATAAAATTGTTTATAAAATTTAAAAGTTTAAAGACTAAATGAAGTATATATGTACAAATTACCTTTTCATTTGAGAATTTAAGTTAGCATAAGAGTGAATTAAGACAAACTTCCATGAATATCCGTCTCACTATACAAACAAAACATGTAGTTAAGCTTATCTATTCTTTGCACCTGTAAATGTGTCTTTCCCGCATAACGAAATTGCAAGACAGAAAACGCATCAACTTGTCATTTGTCTATGTCAAAGAAAGTAAGTTAGATGTGTGTGTAAAATAAGAGAATGCGGATAAACTGATAGTTTATTTAAACAAATACAAGAACAAAATGAGAATTTTGTTTCTTTTATGTCTTTCAGTTAAGAAACATCTAAACAAAGTTGTGATTCTACTTTCATTTTTTTTTTTTCGTTGCAATTCACCTTTCATAATACGCTATTTTACGAACTATTATTTGTTAGAATTTTAAAATTACGTAACCACGTAAAAAAAACTAACCAATCAAAAATATCTTAACTAAATTAAGATTAAACGAGGCAAAGAATTTTTATAAAGCGACAAAAAGTAATTAATTTAATTATAAACTTTAAAATTGTCTTGTTAATATAAGTGAACTAATTATACCTTAACATAATACTAAATTTATTATAATATTGTTCAAATTAGCTGGATAATTAGAAACTAATTCAGAAACTTATCTTTAAGCTAGAAAATTGATATATTTAAAGAAAGCATTTAATGAAAAATACGATAATTAATGATACATAATTTGAAATTTTCAATGTTTAGTTTTAGAAAAATATTTCAATTGTTATTTAAATTACATTTATATCTACGTAAATCCTAAAATAATTAAGAAATTAATTGAAAGAATAAATTACAGACATCGAAAACTAGAATTTCGATATATGTATAATATATAAAATATATAAAAAAATAGGAAAATAAATTTATTTTTAGGTAGAAAAAGTAATTAAATATATTATTGTTATTAGAGCGTAGGGTTCTAGATTGAAAAAGAGAAGAGAGTGAAGGGATAAAAAAAAAAGGAATAGAAGGTCCCAGTAGGGTACTGAGAAGAAGGGTGAGTGAGAAACTATGAAAATAAATGACATTTGTTGAGTTAATTGTAATTATATGAAGTAACTAATTAAATATATGTTTTGTATGTATTATTCCTAATTCAAGTCTATTACGTTTCTTATATTCGTATATATGATAAAATTAATATTCTAAATTTAGCGAAACTCGTAAAGAATTTATAAGTTTAATATTCAATTTAATAGAAAAAAAAAGTATAAAATTCGTGTTGTTGCCTTATATATTTAATTTAATATTGAATTTCTATGCTAAAAATAATCGAATTACTTTATTTAAATAAGAAACCGAAATATTTTTTAAAGTTTAAAAATATGTAAATTATTATTATTATAAAAGGTATCAGATAAAGTTATAAAGTTAAAGAATATCAACTGTCCTTTCTACGTCTGGATTTAGTCAGTAAAGTCAACAAAAATTCTATGTAATGACATTAAACCTTGTTTGTATGCGCTTCAATAGAAACTTATATTTGACATCTTAATTTTTATGTTGGATAAAAACTTAATAAACTAAAAAAATAAACGAATATTTACATTAAAAAGTATATTTACAGACTTATTTTTTATAGTTTTGTATTCGGAATAATTTAATTTATAAATCAGTCATTTTAAAATATTTTTTCGTGAGAAAATTTAATCATTTTATGTTCCTACTCGAGAAAAGACAGATACGTTTAAACTAAATAAATTAATTTACAAATGGAATAAAAGAATTAGAATAAAATTTTTTGGAGCCTGATTAAAGATTATCACTGACTTAATCGTACAGTTTTCTCTTAAGGCTATTCATTGTGTTAATAAATTTGCCTATCAAATAACTTAATGTTTATTTTTCTAGTTTATATACAGGTACGTAAATAAACAAATTATAATATACAAATAGCCCGGCAGATTGAACGAATTTCAAGAAAATCTTTTAAACTTCGTATATTCCTTCTCGACAAACCAACAATTGACAATTTTAAACTGGATAAAAAAAAATCTGGAAAATCAAACTATCTGATTTTCCTATTCGATTTGCATAGTTTGTCTGTCTTCAATACTTTTTTCAGCTCTAAACTTACTTTTTAACGTAAGAAAACAGCTAATCTATGAAGGAAAATCTAAAATATATTCTCATATCCTTCTGTGCACTTTTCTAAATTAATATTTACTCTCCGCGACTGAAAATTTTGCCGATAAATAAACTTTCCAAACTGAAAAAAAAATCTCGTAAACATTTAAAATAAAAAGTAAAAAAAACGCAAAAGACATAATGAAAACACTGTAAATAGAGATAACGCGCTTTAGAAACAAATAAAAATATATATATTTATATTGAAAACCGAGAAAAATTTGACTTAAATCTAAAGTTAACACTTAAAAATTGTTATAGAATTTCATACGTAGGATAATAGCAAGTGAATGCCTACTTACTTCTTTCAGATTTAAGAGATAGATGACACAATTTGCTACTATATGACACAACGACAAGCTAACCAGTGATCGAAGCACACAATGCTGGCTTATTTTAAGAGACCGCCAATCTCCAACAACGTAGGCGGACAACTTACATACGCATGCCCTGCAACGTCACCATGACGTAGACAAATAAAGCACTAATATTTGAAACGTGAAAGGATCCAGTTGGATATATGAACCATTCATTTATCTTCTTAATAATGCTTATTTATATTATAAAGAACTCGTAACGTGACTCCTATTGCTTTTACTCCTAAAACGTGATTGTTAATGAATTTTATTTCCGGATTTTTAAGTTATAAAATATAATATTTGTTTNTTCAACGGGAGAATAACGTAAAAAGATTTATGGAGTAAGCATTATCTGATGTTATCGAGATCGGTATCTCTATGCTACCTTTTAATTAGTCAAATTACTTTAAGGAGTCGATAAAATTATTAGATTAAGAAAAAAAATAGTTATTAAATAATTGTAAGTAACGTTTTAATTTAAAATAACTTCGTGCATCGTAGAAAATGCTTATATTACTATTACAGCTATATAATTTTACTTCGCTTGAAGACAATTCAAAATTAAAATTTTAACAATTTAAATACTAAAAGTATGTCTTTAAACAGTTATAAATAATAATAATAAAAAAATAAAGAGGAAAATTTTTAAACTGTTTTTATAATAAAAAAAAATTCGTTTTTAAAACTTTACTTCTTTTTTTTCAGTAAGAAAATTACATCAAGCGTATAACTAGTTGCACGAAACGTGACTATTATCGCCTTTTAAAATAAATAATCATTGGATAACAATAAGTATAACTGATAGAGGATCAACATTGATTAAGAATGGCACACATCTGGATCATTATAATAACTGTTATCTCGGCTACTGTCTGTTGTAAATCCGTCACATATGCACACCATGGGATTATTGAGTGTTTATATGTCTCCTGACTGTCTAAATTTGAATGGCTTGGGATTAATAATAATTGCAAGGTTGATCCGAATTGATTTCATTGCTTTATTCCTTTCGATTATTTTTATAATTGTCATAAATCCTCATTAAATTACAGCCGTAAACTAATTAGCTGCGTAGAGAGTTCTTATGACTTACCTGTGCTTAATGAGATTCAGTGTTTACGTGGCTCCAGAATGTTTAAATCTAAATGGCTTTGGATTAATTATAATCGTAAGATTGATCCAAATTGATTTCATTGCTTATTTCTTTCTATTCTTTTTTATAATTGTTATAAATCTCCATTAAACTACACCTGTAGACTAATTAATTGTGTAGAGCACTCTTATAACTTAACTGTGCTTAATATGTAAAATAAGTATATGATAAATCGCATATTACCTTGGAAATAAGGTGAAATGAGCCAAATTATTCTAAAATTTGTTTTCCAGATTTAAATTTCATCAAAAAAATTTTACATAATCGTTCTTACATATTACGAAAAAATTTAATTTTGTACCAAAAGTAATATAAGAGTAATATTAAATTTTCTAGAAATAAAAGGAAAAATTTCTTGTTAATAAAATATAAAAATTAAATTATATTTATTTTTTTTAGAAAAAAATATTCCGATAATACGAATCCTTTTGTTTATAATGGTATAATCCTGAATAAGTTTAAATTTATTTATGTAAATGCACAGCCTATCTCAAAGGATCATTAAAATATATTCGCTGTTTAAAACAAAGTAAAAAAAAATATTAAAAATGAATAAAAGATATTGAAGAATTCCGAATAATATAACTTTATCCATATCAAAATTCGAAATTTTTACATAATTTTTTTTATTTCATTCTGTGTTAATAAATAAAGAAACTTATATAATATTTCAATACAATTTTTATATTAAATTAGACTAATTTAATATTTTGTTTTTTTTTAAATATTTTTAATGAGAAGAATACAAGACAAAAGTAGTTTTAAATTTTCATTTATTCTATTCATTTTATACGTTATTTATAATAAAAAATGATAGAATAAAGATGTCGATGTACTGTAATTCTCCAAGTTTTACAGCTCTTATCTAACAATAAAAATATTAAATTTTATCGTAATTTATATAATAATCATTTATAAATTGTATAATAAATACAGTAGGCATATTAATAAAATAATTAAAGACCATGAAATAAGTACATGTCAACTCATTATTTTAAAGCTCCCAGTGACAAATGAATTAAAATACCAAACATTGGTAGTTAGTCACGGGTTCGCGCCCCTCACGTGGATTTCTTCCGGTTTTCTTCACGTGTCTTAACACCCAAATAAAGGCCAGTTTCTTATATAAAGTATTCTCGGGAGGCATTTCCTTTGAAAAATCGTCCATTTGTTGCGCTATCTTATCCCATTAAAACTACTAAACAGTGGATGATCATGGGTTTGCGCCTACTAATGAGCTGGCCACGTGGAATTTTCCGGATTTTCTTCAATTATCTAACACCTAAACAGGAGTCAGTTTGCCATAGAAAGTCCTCTCGCCCTGGCAGATCGTCCACATGTTGTATTGCCGTATCCCATCTATCCGAATCCTTCTTTTGGAGAATTGTTAGTGACATTTTCATAAATAATATGAACGATTTAATAAAAAAAATTAAATTAAAAAGTAATAAACAGTATTCGAGATAATACACTAATAATTTCAATTATTTTAATATTAATTCGTATTTTATTACAATTTATATTACGTTATAAAATCTTCCTCTTATATATTTTTTGTTTGTATAAAAAATAAGAATGTGAATTAAAGTATTCAAAAAAAGTTTTATTCGTTATATTTTTATTCTGATTTTTAATATTTATTTCTCGATTTTTCTTTATTACGATTTTTAATGGATTAAATATGAAGTCGAGTTAGATGAATGATAAATTAAAGAACTCAGAATTTAATAAACAACAATAAATGCCGCAGCTACTTCATTATTTTTTGATGAATAAATATTCATCAAAGCGAAATTATAGTTAAATATTCATCTGAATTTTAAATGTGATTTAGTTTAAGCTCTCGATGGGTGTGGTATTCGACATTATCTATATGAAGAAGTCAATTATAACACTGTTTACAGGAGCTTAAAGTTTTCACCAAGAATTAACTTATAGAGTTCGACAAAGTTATAAAAGTCTAACAAATTTTGCTAATAATAAAATAATTTCGTACGCTATATATTTTTAGAATATTAAACTAAATTATCATTACGTAAAATTTACTTAATCTTAACGAATGTAATTAATTTTCATGAANAAACAAAGTAAAAAAAAATATTAAAAATGAATAAAAGATATTGAAGAATTCCGAATAATATAACTTTATCCATATCAAAATTCGAAATTTTTACATAATTTTTTTTATTTCATTCTGTGTTAATAAATAAAGAAACTTATATAATATTTCAATACAATTTTTATATTAAATTAGACTAATTTAATATTTTGTTTTTTTTTAAATATTTTTAATGAGAAGAATACAAGACAAAAGTAGTTTTAAATTTTCATTTATTCTATTCATTTTATACGTTATTTATAATAAAAAATGATAGAATAAAGATGTCGATGTACTGTAATTCTCCAAGTTTTACAGCTCTTATCTAACAATAAAAATATTAAATTTTATCGTAATTTATATAATAATCATTTATAAATTGTATAATAAATACAGTAGGCATATTAATAAAATAATTAAAGACCATGAAATAAGTACATGTCAACTCATTATTTTAAAGCTCCCAGTGACAAATGAATTAAAATACCAAACATTGGTAGTTAGTCACGGGTTCGCGCCCCTCACGTGGATTTCTTCCGGTTTTCTTCACGTGTCTTAACACCCAAATAAAGGCCAGTTTCTTATATAAAGTATTCTCGGGAGGCATTTCCTTTGAAAAATCGTCCATTTGTTGCGCTATCTTATCCCATTAAAACTACTAAACAGTGGATGATCATGGGTTTGCGCCTACTAATGAGCTGGCCACGTGGAATTTTCCGGATTTTCTTCAATTATCTAACACCTAAACAGGAGTCAGTTTGCCATAGAAAGTCCTCTCGCCCTGGCAGATCGTCCACATGTTGTATTGCCGTATCCCATCTATCCGAATCCTTCTTTTGGAGAATTGTTAGTGACATTTTCATAAATAATATGAACGATTTAATAAAAAAAATTAAATTAAATTAAAATCTGTATAGCAGACAATTGCACAGTAGTAAATGTCATTGCCAAAATGTATGTAAGCATATAAAACCCATATGAAAAATTAAATTCGATTTTTCAGCTCGTTTATGTGCAAATGTTATTATTTTCAAAACTTTTAATATTGATGTTATGTTTCCACACTTCTAATTTATTATTCCCAAGGTTTGGAATGTCTAATTAATTATAGTGTATGGTTTTGAATGTCTTAATATATAACATTATTAATTAATCCGCAATAACATCATTTATTATTTACTTATTAAATAAATTTATTGATGTTTACTTAGACAATTTCATAATTTTTTCATTTATATTTGCTTTAGTTTTCCTCATAAACGTCTTAGCTTAGTTACTTATTTCGTTTTTAATGCCTCAAATGCCTCTTGTGTATCTAGAGTTATATTGCGCCAATCATAGGAGACTGTCCACATAAGGAAATCTGATCCACATTATATATATCTCCTGGGACAAGACCTTGTAGTTAAGTAGAACTGTAACAACAATAGATATGATGGTAGAACACAAAAATATAAAACAGATGTTTCTAGTAATTCAATGAAACAGATGGGCAAAGAATACCATAGATACAATAAGNGATTTTCTCCAATTATCTAACACCTAAACAGGAGTCAGTTTGCCATAGAAAGTCCTCTCGCCCTGGCAGATCGTCCACATGTTGTATTGCCGTATCCCATCTATCCGAATCCTTCTTTTGGAGAATTGTTAGTGACATTTTCATAAATAATATGAACGATTTAATAAAAAAAATTAAATTAAAAAGTAATAAACAGTATTCGAGATAATACACTAATAATTTCAATTATTTTAATATTAATTCGTATTTTATTACAATTTATATTACGTTATAAAATCTTC